CTGCCCGCTGCTGAGGACAGACCCGTGTGTTTTGTCTTTGCCATTAGGTTGTGGTTGAGGTCTTCCCGAGGCAAATCTAACCCATATATTTCTGACTCATTTCTGCTTTTCTCCTTTGGCCGGCTCCTGGGAACCCTTTCGTGTCTGCGATGCCTGTTTAAAAACAGCTTCTTCAAATGTTTCCTCTTCCTCCTCTGAGCCTCAGGAAGGTTGGCTTTCCCCAAAGTGGAAGGAGACAGGCCCCCAAACTTCAGGTGCTCCAAGGGGGTGGAGGGTGAGTGCCCTGGGGGGCCCCCACGACGGCTGCCAAGCCCACCCTGCAGAGTGGCGAGGGCAAGGAGTCCCCAGCGGGAGGCCCTGGCAGGGAGGCCCAGAGCCTCCCACATGAAAGGCGTTAGAGGCGGGGCTGTCAGGGTTGTCAATCAGATAAATATTTCATAATGAGCACTTAAAAGGAAGGGGGTGGGGAGGCCGCTGAACACCCTAGTGCTCCCCTCCACTTTCATGTTCCCTACCCCATAATTAGCAGCATCGAGTGTGGATGATGGGACACGGTCTTTAAAGGGCGCTGCCAGTGCGGGCATGTCCGCTCTTTGGACCAGGCTGGGAGTGGGTAATTACGCCTCTCCCTCTCGCTGGCTGCTGAGCGCGCATGTGGGCAAGTGTGCGGGACCCAGGGCTGGAAGAAGGACCATGCTGTGCCGGTCTGGAGTGCAGGGACAGGGGCAGCTCGGTGGGTCCCTGGCTTCATTTCCAGGGAGTAGTGTGTGCTGGATGGTGGGACTGCCAGGACAGGGTGGAGGAGCACCCTCACCATGCTGGGCTGGGTCCCGCAGAGCTGGAAGACACTGATAATAATGCTAATCCCTGACATTTATCCCAGGCTTACCCGAATCCTGCGAATCACAGCCTCTAAGCCAAAGGATCTTCAGGATGTAAACTAAGCCTGTACTTTGAATGAGTTTTTCTCCTTTGTTGTTGGCAAAATCCCCCTGTGGTGGCCCCAGTGATCGCCTTCATTTTACAGTGGAGAATACTGAGGCAAATCGCTGAGGTTGAGAGAAGAGGAGAGGGAGAAAAGTATAAATGAGTCAGAAACATGGGCAACTCTCACAGTGTGGAGCTCATTCCTAGACTGGAGCTCCACTCCAACAAACCTTCCAGGCAGGAAAAGCAAGGTGCATCCCTACAGGGTGGCCGGCTCTCAATTTTGCCAGGTGCATGCATTTACAGGGTGAAAAACAACAACAACAAAAAAACAACTAGGCTGATGTTTTGCTGGCCCCTGAATTTCTTAAAAGGCATTTTTGCACCAACATAGGAAGGAGAAGCCTAGAGAAAAGACATTTCTTCATATCAATTCTATCCTGTTCTGTTTAAAAGTCGGCCCTGGTCCTTGTCTCCTTTTGCCAAGGGCCTGATGTAGCTCAAGCTCACGCCGCAGCTGGAGGACTTGGGTTCAGGGCACCTGCTCTGCGGTGGTGGTTCTTAACCAGGGGAATTGGGGCATTTTTGCTCCCAAAGGGACACTGGAGACGTTTTTGGATTTCACAGCCTGGCCTTGGGCGTGCTACTGGTTGCTGGTGGCCACTGGTAGCAGAGGCCCGGGTGGCTGGGTGACATCCTGCAGTGCACGGGGTCCTTGAAGCAGAAGAACCTGGTCCTGAATGGTGGTAGTTGGAGCCTGGAAACCCTGGTAGCAAGAGGTCCAAGGGACTCGGACAAAGGCGCCCTGGGCCAACCCGAGTTTGTGGGAAGAGGAACTGGCTTGGTTGTCTACACCGCATATCCATGCTGGAGGACTGGTGGCCTGCAGTCAGACAAGTGTGCCCCCCCTGGGTGCCCCTGAGCGAAGGGAGACCTTTGTGCTCAGGGACCCTGGGACCTTCACTTCTTCCCGCAGGCCAGCAACCTCCCAATTGTTTGGAAAGATGTCTGATAGCCCAGCAACGGTAGCTAGAAACAAGGTCTTCCTGGAGTCCACTGTATTTCTCCTGGCCAGCTTCCTCCCTCTGTGGGCTCTGCGCCCCTTCCTGGGTCTGACGGTCCCTGCCTACGCTGCCGGGGGTCCACCGGCAGGGCGGAGTGGCTGTCCATGGCTGTGCCGAGTTATTTCAGTCTGCAAAACAGGGTGCTGTGTGCACACCCAAGAAAGATCAGGCAGATCTGTGAACTGCGGTTTTGATGGGAGCTAATTAGCATTTCATAACATGCGGCAGGGAGGGAAGAGGCAATGACACTCTAGAGCAAATAAAACCCATTTGCAAATGTAATATTTTTCTGATGAGTTAATGTCTCTAACCATTACCTCCCCCTTCCGTAATTTATTCCTTCAACAGCTATTTGTCAAGTTCTCTCGCTATTGCTTTGCTCCCCTGGAACTCACTGGTTAAAAGTGACAGTTGCGCCTGTGATCCCAGCGGCTCAGGAGGCTGAGGCAGGTGGATTGTGAGTTCAAAGCCAGCCTCCGCCACTTAGCGAGGCGCATGGTAATCGGTGAGACCCTGTCTCAAAATGAAAAATAAAATGGGCTGGGGATGTGGCTCAGTGGTTAAGCACCTCTGTGCTCAATCCCCCGTACAATAAATAAATACATAAATACATAAAATAAAGTGACAGCCGGATCAGGATTAGGCCCTCACTGGGTTTGTAGCTGAGACCAGGGCTCAGCAAACGGGGCCCAGGGCCACAGCCAGCCACCACCTGCTTCCACACAAGACACCTGCCGAGGAGGCTTTCCACAGGTTTGAGTGGCAGGAGGGAATCAAAAGAGCAGTATTTTGTGACCCAGGAAAATCGCATGAAAGTCCAAGTCGGGGTCCATGAATAAAGTCTTATTAGAACACACGGAACACCACCCTGTGTTGCCCTCCCCCGCTATAGTGGCAGTAGGGAAAGGTTGTGACAGAAGCCACTCAACCTCCAGAGGTGACCATTTTTATCATCTGGTTCTTTATATAAAAATAAAAGTCTGCAGACTTCTGAGTTAGGAGAAAGCCCTGGAGTCAACTAGGCAGCTGCAGCTCTAAGAGACCACTTTTGGGGTTGGGGTAGACAAGCCGTTGTGCGGCCTCCCTGCCCAGCCCCCGCGACCCGGGCCTCCCTACTCAGCAGCTCTTTCTTCTGAGTCCTGCTGGGACGGTGGCTCTGGTTTCAACCAGGTTCCCAGTCTCCGTCTCCACACACCTGACTGTGATCACGCCAAGGTCTGCATTCCTTTTGATTTGCCGTGACTTCTACCAAGTGACCTGGAATTCATGGGGCCTCGGGCAGGATGCAAAGACTTCTGGGAACAGGCTCGCGATGTCTAACGGGTCCCGGGTTTTCCCGGGACCGGTGCTGGGAGACGGAGAGATCCTTTCTAGAGAAGGGGGTTCTGGGGACCTCGCGCGTCTGGCTCACACTGGACAGGAGGTGACTGCTCCTTGGTTGTGTGCTCCGTCACTTAGACAGGCTGCTGAGTCTCTCTGCATTCGATCCACATGCCACGTGGAGGTGGCAGCGGTGGCCCTCACTCCGATGTACGTGAGGGCGGAGTGAGGAGGTGGCTGTGGCAGGCTGAGCCTCGCACTTGGCCTTCACCACTAGGATCCCCATCCATGGAGGGCTGCGGGAAGCACCCAACCCAGTCCTCGATGCCGCGTCCTGGGAGCTGTGGGTAAAGTACGCGGTCGTTTGTACAAAAAGAATAAACACATGTTCGGACATAGCCAAGTACTGTTGAAAAGGTACAAGACACTGCTGGTATCAGTTGACTTGCGGGGGGGTGACCAATGGCTGGGCACAAGGGGACAGGGGCCTTTTCCCTCTCGCACAGCTGAGCGTTGGATGACAGGAAAATCACCGATTCAGAAGCAAGGGGAAGCCACTCTATGGACGGCTGCAAAGACACAGGAGGTGGGGGACGCTCAGCCTTGAGGGGGACGGGACCTGAGACTTATGAACAGGTGGGGGTACCTGCCCCAGGCAGCAAGCAGGTCAGGGCTGGCCCGGGCTGCAGTGTGACTTCACAAGCTCAGCCTGCAGCCGGGGACTGGGGGACCCCGAAGACAGCTGAGGGGACCCACCCAGAAGCCCAAGGAGCCACGAACCCCAGGGCCAGGTCCTGCTGGCCAGGGCCAGTGCTTCCAGAAAATCACTTTTGACACCTTTCAATCACTTAGGCCCTGGCCACCCCCACTGTGTGCGCTCGGTGGCCTTTGACACAAACTTGCCCACAAAGGTCACATCAAATCAAAATGGCATTCTAGAAGATCCTCTTATCAGCAGGCCCCCGAGGACCTCGATCCAGCGTTCTCTCAGGTCAGAAGCTTGAGAAGAAGATACTAACACGGGCCGGAAAGACGAGGGGGAGAAACAGGTTTCCTGAGTGACCAAAGGATCAAATCAGACAAAGGGAAACCTGGGAACAAGTGTGGAGTCCAAGGAGGTCTCTCAACTTTTGCAAAGAAGAAAAAGTCTTATAAAATTTATTTTTGCCCTTAAAAATCCTTCCATCTAGTAGCACTGGAATAGAACTCAGCCACGCAGCTGCCCTCACTGCAGGGGGAGGGCGAGGGGGGCGATTTAAGTGAGGACAAGGGACGATGGTGATAAGACAATGATTTTATCAGCTAGCGCTCCCCTCTCTCCAAAGTGGACAAGAGCTGGGCGGGCGGAGCACGTCTGTGACCCCTTGACTCGGAGGCTGAAGCAGAAAGAGGGCAAGCTCCAGGCAGCCTTGGTATGTCAGTGAGGCCTGTCCCCAGATAGAAAGGGCTGGGGGTGTAGCGTGGTGGTAGAGTGTCCAGGTTCAACCCCCAGCAACACACACACTCACACACACACACTCACACACACACACACACTCACATACTCACATTCATACACTCACACATAGTCACACGCACACACTCACAATCACACACATACACATTCAGCACACTCACGCATACACAGTGGAAATGAGCAGAATCAAAACTCAGTGACAAACAGATTTTTCATAGTAAATTCTCTTCGTGGAGGTCATATTAAAACACGTATGTTAACTATTTTAAATACCCAACAACCTATTTTGGGCTCTAAAAATTATTCTTCCTTCTTTCTCACATTTCATGTTATTTGGAAGCCAACAAATTACTTGAGGTGGACCATAAGTACCTCTATATGCACTCACGAAGACAGGAGGAAACCACGGGCAGGATCTACCCGGTACGGGCTGTGTGACCTTGGGCTGGAGACCTTGCCTGTTTGAACCACAATTTTCCCTGACCGTTAGACGCGTGTGATTACAGTAGGTAAGGCCCAGGTGCTTGGGAGGGAATGAGAGCATGTTATCTGTCACTTTATTGCATTGGGTAATATTCCGGGGTATTTGCCCTTTCCTTCCCTTCTCTCCCCACACCTGCGTCCTTTGGGCTCCTTTGTCCAGGGAGTGAGGAAGGAGATGAGAGGGAGTCTTTCTGGCTTTGCTTTTCCCAAAGACAAAGGAGAACTTAATTCAAGAGGCACAGGGAGGTGAAGGGAGGGAGGAAGTCAGTCTCGGCTCTCCTGGGCAGACTTGCTAGTGGCGATCACACCTGAAGGAAGCCGCGGAAATACACATGAAGGTGTGCATGACGTGCCCCCGACGTGCCCGCCGACGTGCATGTTTACATTTACACTCACGAACGACTCAATGCAACGAAGAGGACCCGAACCGTCCACACCAACCCGCTCACCCGGTTCTTTCTGGCTGGTGGGTTGCGGGTGGTCTTCCCTTTCCCTGCTCGTCTGCAGTTTCTGGTGTTTTCATAAAGACTTTCAGCTCTTCCACGAAGACACTATGTAACAAAAGCTGCCTGCAGTCACAGAGCTACAGGTGACCTGGGCCAGCCTGGAGCTGCACTCTGGCTGAAGTCACTTCCTTCCCCTGTGTGCTTAGGGACCTGCCGGGTGAAGGCACAGGAGCTCAGCAAGCCGCCGTAGGCCGCAGTAGGCACGCGGCTGACGTGGGGACGGCTGCAGGTGCCCCAGGACCAGGCTTCAGGGGAGGAGGTGGACACAGGGGGACAGGGCGGCCAGAGGTGTCCAGACTCACACCTCATGGAGCCTCTGGGCTTGGAAGCCTCAGTCTGTAGCTTGTGGGGACTCGGGGGCAGTGGGGAGCCACTGAAGGGTGTTGAGTGAGGGTCGGACAGGATGCCGCTGGCTTTTGGGTAGACCGCTCTGGCCCCTGAGTGGAGCTGGCCCCACCTCTGGCTCTCTAGAGAGGCACCCCCAGAGGTGGGGGGCCCTTGCTCGGGTTCAAAGGTCAGGCGGAGCCCTGGCTCCTAGGAGAAGCCGAGTTGATGCTGAGCACCTGGGAGGACACCTGCGGGCAGAGGGCCATCACGGCTGGTCAGTCGGCAGAGCCCGACCCCAGGCTGTTTGTGTTTGAGCCCCGGCAGGGCTGTGGGGCAGGAAGCTGCTCCCCTCCCTCCTGGGGGCAGAGGTCACCACTCCTGAGTCAGCTGCGGGTCTGGGGAAGTGGCTGAGCAGCCACACGGGGACCTGGGCCTGCCCCGCTGGGGGACGGGCTCTCCTCTCCAGGGTCTGGGCCTTGTCCCTGCTCCTGCGAGCAGCAGGGCTGGGAGCGCCCGCCCCTCCCCCACCAGAAGTCTCTGCTGGCCTGTCCCCAGGCTCAGGGCGGCCTGGAGACCTGAGCTGCCGGGGCCTGGAGGGGAGAAGGTGGCACCAGGAGAGCCCACTCCTCCCGTGCTGGGGTGCAAGTGTGGGGGACAGGAGCCGCCCCGAGGCGCCCCAGGGCCGGGCCGCCCCCGCCAACCCCCGACAGGGTTCACATCATCTCAGGGCTGGGTGCTGCTCAGGGTGGGGGGCTCAGGAACGAGGAAGCCAGGCCCCGCAGGGGTGGCAGGGCGTGGGTAGGCGCCAAGGTCACAGGGGTGAACGATGGCCCCAGAGTTCCAGACAGGGCGGTCGGTCGGGGTCCCAGAGCCTGTCTTGTCCCCGGGCTTGGCGATGTCCCTCCTGGGGGCTCAGGTGGGTGAGCTGGTCATCGTAGATTCCAGACCTTGTCCTCTATCTGGAGCCGACGCCAGGTCTCCTGCTCCCCTTCTGAGCAGGACTCAGCGCCCCGCTGTCCTCCCCGCCCCCACCCGCCCTGCTGCTGATTCTAATGGCTTCTGACAGGTATTTGTACAATCTGAGTTATGTGGCTTCACAAAGATCTCTCTCCCGGGGAAGGTTACTTGAAGCTGTTTTGACAGCTCTCAGCCAAGGGGCCACGTTTAATATATAACAGTTCATAAAACAAATCCGGGATCCGGGAATACCTCTTGCTGTGAGTCATGGTGACATCATCTTTGGGTCTAAGAAAAAAATCCAGGGTGGGGGGGGGAAACCCGCAGAGAAGAGCTCCCTTCTACTGTGGCATCTCGGGGGGACACCTGAGTCCTGGCACTGACGTCCCCGTGTCCCCAGGGAAAGCCTTCCCTGATCCACAACGCTCTGGGCACATGCCAAGCTCCGCAGGTGAGCAGCTCACCTTTCTGAGTCACCTGCGGGCCCTCGGAGCTCCTCCCGCTTCTCTCCTCCCTGCGGAGGGGACCGTTGAGGCTCCCGGTCATGGTCAGTGGTCAGTGGTCCATCTCCTGCCAACTCCGCCCCTGAGGCCAGCTCCTCGGGGTCCCCTGGCTCACTGTATGCCGAGGAGCACTTTCACATTGAACTGCCCTAAAAAGAGCTTCAGAGAGAGAGTTGGGCCCGGACCTTTCTGGAAGGGGCTGGGGAGGGGGGGCTCCGCTAAGCCCAGAGCCTGAATTCTAATCAACAAATGCCAGATCTCTCCTGTGCCACCCAACACGGAGGGGAAAAGTCCCCCCAAATAGAAAAGGCCTCCTTCTCAAGGGACCGGACCCTCGTCCTGCGAGCTGCCAGCTATTCCCGGGGCAGAGGATGATTCTAATTCCCCCAAGAGCCAAAGAGAACACCTGCTGCTGGAGCCAGGAGAGGCGCTTCCACCCACACCTGCCCACCAGGGGATCTTCCTGGGCTGGGCACCAACGTTCTCGGGAAATCCCGGGTTTCCACCCTGGTGCGGAACCTGCTGCCCAGCTGAGGAGCAGGACTGTTTGGCCTGGGGCGGGAGTGGGCGGCCTCTGAAAGGACGGTCGTGGGAGGGACAGCAGGGTTCTCCCTGTGGACTGGGAATCAGCGCACAGTCTCCATGGGCTGGGGTGGGACAGACTGCGCGTCACATGACCAAGACGCCCGGGGAACCCCGCTCCTGCAGCCTCCCTCCCCTGCTACCCGTCCTCCAAGGGGAACCCACTCCCCACCAAGAACTAGGTTTGTCTTTTAAAGGGGACCACAGTGTTTGAATGGCCGGATTCTGGCTGTGGGGAAATATTAAAATCAGGGGCAGACGAATCCCAACCAGGTAAAGATGGTGTTTTAGTCCTGATTCACTCATCCATTCATGGAAGGAATGTGCACGGGATCTGCCCAAGGCCAGCGTCCAGGGTCTGAAATACATTCCTGGCTGCAAAACAGACCTCTGCTGGGGACCCTCCGTGCTGGGAGCTCATGAGTACACAAAAGCACGCATCCATCAGGCCAGCGCCTGGACGGTGTGGAAATACCGCAGGAACAGGACGAGCCCTGCTCTCGCCCGAGAAGACACTCTTCCAGGCAGGGGAACCGTGTGTGCAAAGGCCCTGTGGTGGTGTCACCTGCCTGGTCGGCAGGAGCAGGGAGGAGAGGGGCCAGGGAGCTGGGAGGCCACGGTCCCAGCTAGTCTATCTCAGCCTGGCTGCGATGGGGACTTCCAGCTGTGACTCCAGCCACAAAAAGGATAAAAGTCCCTCCTGCTCAGATCACAGGGCAGCTGCTGACAGGTAGGCCGGGGTGGGGGGGTGGGGGGTGGAGCAGGTGCCTCCCGGGGCAGAACAGTGGGAACCTGGGTTGAACCAAGTCGTTTGTTCACAAAAACCGTTTCTTTGTGTTGGGAGCTAACATGGGAGGCCGGGAGACTGGCTTCTCCAGCCTCACATCCCTAACCCACAAAGGGGTTGCTGTGAGGATGAATTTATTGCTCGTGGGAATCGGAATCAGCTCAAGGTCAGGCTTCTGTTCAAATCCCAGCGGCCACCCCAGCCTCTGAGATGGGGGCTGTGATGGTCAGTTTGATGTGTCAACCGGGCAAAGGCCACAGTCCCTGGCCACCCTGAATCCATCAGCCAACAGCTGAGGGGACGAGGCGTCAGCCAGGAGCAGAGGCAGTGGTGAGCTCCAAAGAGCGGAGGGCCAAATGCAAATAAGGAAACAGCTACAGACGACATGTCAGCGCGTGCAGACTCTGTAGAGGGACATGGAGGGGTGCAGGGTGCCTGGGTAGGGATCCTATTCTTTGAAGGGTGGTTGGGGAAGAACCCTCTGAAGAGGAAATATTATAAGGAAAAGAGCGCACAGGCCAAGTTTATACTGTGGGGAAGAGAATTCCAGGCAGAGGGAACGGGAGTGCAAAGGGCCTGGGGCCTGTGGGGAGGACAGCGAAGTCAGTGTGGCTGGAGCAGCGGAGCAGGGTCCTGCATCAGAACCGACACTGCAGGAGGCTGTGGAGGGTGCAAAGACTGTGGCCCTTGCTTTCAGGGGGACAGAATCCTGGCAGGATGTGTCCCCAGGACATTCCCCAGGCCGTCCCTCTAGCCTGTCCCTGGCCTGGGGCCTCCTGAATTACTCCCCCTCCCCAGTCCTGGCTTCCATGGGCTCTGGGCCCTTCCCCCGTGTGTGTGTGTGTGTGTGGGGGGGGGTACCATGGATTCTGCCAGGGCTGCTCACCCTGCACAACCTGGAGGAAAATACCATAAAAGCAGCCCCCACACCGGCCTGCCACGGGGAGCTTAAGGACCTTCCGTTGCTCTCTCCTTAACAAAGAGCTGCTCAGGTGCAGAGCGCCTGCCCTCCCCCACCCGCCTGTGCAGAGTCAGCTCCCAGAGTGCCCCTGCTGCCGGTGACAATGTGACATACCTGCACAAGGCTTGGCAGCTCTTCTCAGCCTCAGAGCGCCTGGGGGCTGCAGGCCTCGCAGCCTGTGGAGAGCTGGGCACAGGGGGTGGTGGGGGGAGGCTCCAAAGTGCTGAGACCACACGTGTCCCTCTCCAGGCTCTGACAGGAGCCCCTGCCCAGAGACCGCAGTGTGGCTTCCCCCCAGTAACAGGGGCAGCCATGTTTGCTTTTCCTGGCTGCCAGGGCTCTAAGAACTAAAGAGTGGGCGGTCTCAGTGGACCTCAGGCAACAGAAAGGCCAGGTCGGGAGTAGCTGGAGAGGGGTCGCTTGGCCTCCAGGGGAGGTGGCATCTGACTTCATTTTCCAAGCATCGCTGAGTGTTGACGTAGGAAGTGCCGAGAGCCATTGATGCTGACTCCAGACCACAGAAGGGCCTGCTCATCTATAGACGGGAAAGGGAGGCTGGGGAGGGTGAGGGGTCTCACCTAAGGGAGGCAAGGCTGGTCAGCGCCTCAGTATCAGGTTTAGAGGGGCAAAGGGATTGTCCAGGGCCAAAACCAACTTCTCCATTCTCTTTGGCTCCACCCAAAGACCCTGCCCCTCCCTGCCTCTCAGGACCCCCAGACCCCCTGGGAGTGCATGGGACAGGAGGCAGGAGGGACAGCAGCCATAGGACCCTTGCCCTGTCTCACAGGATGGGAGTGAGCAGGGCCCAGCAAATACGCAAGACAGAGAGAGGAAGCTGACTTCCAGCCGGGGGCAGACGCCCTGGAGGGAGGACAAGCCCTGGCAGGAGTGGGAGGCGCAGGGGCTTACGTGGACCTGGAGGCCCCTCCACGTGGGTGCCCGCCCCGGGCTACGCAACCCACAGGAGCCGTGGTGTGCTCCTCAGGGCACAGCGGCAGCCACAGGACCCTCTTGCAGCAGTGGCCCTGGGCAGGGGAGGGGCAGAAGGGGACTGGCTTCATCGTGAGTCCTCCTGATTGAACCGTGACACGAATTTCCTTGATACATTTTTAGAATACATCTTCACAGGACCCTGAACACACGGACATGAGGACTTCCCAGGCTCCTGGAATCGGGGGCCCTTCTGTTCTCCTGAGCAATGAACCTCATGCAGCTGTGTGCACACAGGCCAGGCAGAGCGCACACTGCCTTTAGCAAGTGCAAGGTGGGGTGCCTTGGCCCTGATCCGGGGCTGCTGAGTGAGGGTACAGGATCACCGGGAAGCCAGAAAAAGGTTCATCATTATGGACATTGACTCAGGATTTAGATTCCAACCCTACCCTTACCACGAATGGGCTGTGTGACCTCAAGCATGTGGCTGAACCTCTCTGTGTCCTTGTCTGCAGATAGTGGTGCATTTTCTGTCCTGGGGAGAATTCCAGGAAGTAAGACCCGTAGGCAGTGACTGGCAGAGTGTGGATATGCAGTGACAGATTGGGGAGTGTCGTTGGGTGGTGGCTGTTTTGTAATGAAGGTGAAATGGCCCTGAGGGTGGCAGTGGAGCTGGTGGACAGCATGCGGCTCCGGAAGTGGCTCCCAGGTAAGAGGAAAGCAAGAGCCGCGGCACCTCCAGAGCCTGGATGGCTACGCAGCCCCAGGACGCACAGCCACCTGGGGCGAGGGCACGCAGGAGCCCCGCCTCCACAGGACGTGCTCAGAGGCAGCCGCTGCCTCCCTCCTCCCCCGCCCTGCGCAGGAGGTGGCGCTGGGCAGGTCCCTGGCCGGCTCAGGGGCGTGTTTGTTTAGTGTTGCCTCCTGGGTCCTGGGTCGCCTCCCTTCAAAGGCAACGTCAACATCGCAGCGGGGGCACGCCCCGTCGTGTCTGCACATGCAGCGGGACACGGCCCCCCTCTGTCCCGGGGAGTCCAGCAGAGCCGGGCTGTGCTGCCTCCTGCCCGGGAACACGGGGTTTGTCCTCCGCTGAGTCACCGGGGGCGTTTGTCTGTACTCCACTCCGGCGGCTGGGGAGCTGGAGCTTGGCGCTCAGGGGCCGTCTGGCTTCCAGGACTGCTGCCCGGGCTCCAGCGTCCGTTCCTCACCCTGCCCATGTCCAGAGCGAGGCCATCTGGGTGTCCAGCTGGACCCAGCAGCTGGCTTTGTGGACACTGTTCATCTCCCTGCTCTGGGCTCCTGTTGCTCAGCCCCGGGGGTGAGGGGGGGGTGTCCCCTGGAGCCTGAAGCTGCTCAGCCCCCCCCCCAAGGCTTGGGCAGCCCCAGCACAAGGAATGTCCGAGGCCAAAACCCCACAGCCCCACCACAGAGAAGCCCAGGGAAGCCAGGGAGCCTGGACAGGGAGGCCCTGCTGAGCGGGGACAGCCCCGGCCTCCAGGAGGAGCAGCTTTGCCCAAGGCCACAGTCTGCGGGATTCCGAGCCTCCTCCTCTGGCTTCCCGGGGGCCCTGGGCTGGGCCCACAGGCGCGGGAGCCTCCCCATGGCTGTGGGCAGGGTGGAGGGACCTCTCCCGTCTGCAGTAGCGAGAAGGGGCACAGGCAGGTGCTCGGAGGTGTTCTCGGTTTGCCCCGGACTCGAAGGCGCTGCCTTCCTCAGGTCTCGTGGCCGGCCGAGGTGGCTCCATGCACTGTTTATCTGCAACAGTGATTTTCTGATTCTGAACTTCATCCTGTTTCTCTTCTCTGCCGAGTGGGTGGCCACCCTGTAACCCTGCAGAGCTGGGGCCCTGCTGACTCGTGGAGTGAAGGACTGGAGAGGCCCTCTCCCTGTTTCCTGGGCCCCCACCCCTGGGTGCCTGCACAGCGCTCCCCCCCCCCCACCCACAGGCCAAGGCCGGAAGGTGTGAAGGTTGTAAGAGGAGATCGGCTCTGTGTGCTGTTCCCACCCTGGGGTGCCCAGGAGACAGGAGCACAGGGCAGGCCCGCACTCTGGGCTTTGGTCCTGGGCTTGATTCTCCTGTGCAGGAGCCTTCAGCCCCCAGAACTGCTTTCTGAGAGACACAGGGAGTCTCCTCCACCCGGGGTGCCCCTGTGCCCATCCAGCAGGCCGGAGCCCATTCCTGCGACACAGACCACCTCACTTCCTAGAGTGTCAGGGCATTGAAGGGTGCTGAGGTCCCCGTCACCACGGAGCTGCTCCTGGACCTGGGACATTTCCACTGGTCTCATATTCCTTTGGGGGTCTCCACCCAGCTCTCAAC